CCCCAAAACCCCAAAACCCCAAAACCCCTATTGGAAAATTTCGTAAATAATTGTATTTCAAACTTAATATAATTCAATACTATAAAATTTATATTAAATGAAAGCTAAATAAACAGATTCATTCAATCATCTATTTAAAAAAGAAACCAAGAGGAGCCAGGATAGTACAAGCGAGGACTCTAATATGAAGCTAGTAATATTCCTATCAGTGGCTTTCGTAATCTTCGTGAATATCGTAGCTATGATATACAGAAGAGATATGGTAAATTAGGTGGTAATCAAAGACTTTGATCATTCGACTGCCAAGGAGGGAACCGTCATTAGAGTCAATGATAAAGCTGTTTACAGAAAAATCATTAGCGAGTACTTTCCACCAAGCAACGAGTCAATCTAGAGCGCACCAATTAACGAGAGGGCTCCATAGAATGAGAAAAAGTTCATCAGCGACGAAATAAATGAATAACCTCAACTTATTCCTACCAATGCTAAAGAGAATTAAAATGTAAAGAACACTAAAAACAATGAGGGCTTGCATGGAAACGGTGTTCAATGGGAAATCTTCTCAATACTAGTCTTCATATTCGTAGGTATTCTCGCCTATATGATGTGGCTCCTCAAGTCATCTAACACAGCAAAATAGATTTGATTGGGTGATTCATCTGTCACTAGTTTATTTTATGGCTTAATAGACTGTTTGCTAGTCTTTTGATATATGGAATTACACTAATAGCAGTCTTTATTGAAATTTAATTTCATAATTATAATTAAAACAATGAAAGCTTATAATCTCTCAATGTCAAATCGAATAATTCTATATTTTCAAATTTTAAGTCTTTTGATTTTAAAAATCACTCCATCCCTTACTTAGGACTTAGAATAAGCCCATGGATCATTGAGTTAAAGGTAAGAGGATGGACTGAGTTATAGATAATAGATATTTGATAAGTCATTTTGGGATAGAATCAATGAAATGAGCATTGATCAATTCGTTTTATAAGAGATTTAGAATCCTGAGGAATAAGTTGGGATAATGAACTTGCTAAGTCTGGTCCAACAATCTGCAAATTAATCAAATTAGCAAGATTTAAATAAACTCAAATTAAAGGTCAGCTCTGCAATGGGCAATAACACGAAGAGCATCTCACCTGTGAATGAAAATTAGCAAGCGAAAGTTAAATGTGGGGACCCTGAAGGAAATTATGATTTCAGCCAACAGTATTACACTACATCTTGGATTGTATTTGGCATTGCTTCCTTTATAATGTTTGTGAGTTTGATAAACATGGTTTATCAGACTTTCAGATATAAATCATAAGATGAATATTTTTAAGAGATTTCAGAATATGTTCAGAGAGAGGTTCCAAACCTACCCAGTTAGCAGTAAAATTTCTATTCAGAGAGTTATGATCAATCCTACACAAATAGTTTCGTGCATTAACAGTAATATAGACATAACTCAAACATACTATTAAGCTAGACCATTAATCACACCATGATGAATAGCAGGGTAGATTAGTTTAATAGCAATGCTGACAATAGCAGATGAAGTGAGATTATAAACTCTGATAATTGTTGAAATGTGTGATTTTAATTTTAAGTTAAGATGAATGATTTATGCAAAACAATTGTGTATAAATATTATAAGGTTATATAAGTTTTAAGATACTAGCTAAGTTTGAAATAAATCTGGTTACATTTCTCCAAGATTTTGATGAAACACAGCAGAAATATTATCTTTGAATAACTTGAGGCTGACTTATAAAATAGTTTTATTTAACTAATAATTAAATTACTTTAGTCTTATTAAAACTTTACTAATTTAAATGGAGAGTATTACAACTAGTCCAATCAATAATGCTCAAACTTAGCAAGAAATGCTTACTCAAGCAAAATCTACCAAACCATAATCACAAGATAATATTTAATCGTCTTAAGATAATTAAATTTAACAGCTTTAGGGATCTAGAACACTCTGATCTCACACAATGAGAACTATGGATAATATAGTTATGTAATTTGATGAAAGTAGACTCACAATAATTCATAAGTAAAAAGACACAAAATTTAAAGTTATAAATATTTGCGAATTCACAGCTCAAGCTGAAATTCCTTCGCTAATAATAATTAAAGATTGTAATGGATAATAATTGGCATAAAATGACTCTTCAAATAGTCCTTAGCAACCTAATAGGTATGAGGATAGCAAGCAGCAAAATTCAAGCCAATAAAGCCAGACACCATAATTAGTTTAGAATAGCTTTTGAAATTCTGACAATAAACCAATATAAATTTGGGAACTTGGCAGAATATCAGAGGAGTAATTATAGCAATACTTTAAAAGAGGATTTTATTATTTGGATCTGTTTTTATCAAGTAAATTAGAATTCAAGGAGTTACATTCCTTGTCCTAAAGAAGGCTTCGCTATCATTTCGAAGAACTATTTACTACTATTCTTCACCTATGTAATTATAATAAACGTAAAGCATGGAGAACTATAGTAACTGGAGAATTCTTATACTTGGCTAATATTCAATAGTGGATTGAGAGCATTAATAAGTCAAAGTCAAGCTTTAGATGAATATGTATTAAAAAGTCCATAGATTTATTATTTCACGCACTTCATATTCTCCAATGAATCTTCCATCCAAAATCTATTTATTTTTTTATTCATTAATCATCTATTCAACAATCGCGGGGTTTTGGGGTTTTGGGGTTTTGGGGTTTTGGGG